ATGGTGTCCTTTTTTGCGGCGAATTTAGTACAACAGCTGTCACAAGTCTGCTTATCCACATTTTTCAAGAGTTGTTTCAAAGACCTACATTTAAAAATAGTGTGNTGGGCCTGATTTTTGAAATCTTTATCGTTACAGGGTTAAAGATGTTAATACAGTTGGCAACCNTTTAAACAATATTTTGCTGTATAACGTATAACTGTTACGGTCCCTGGTTTTAAATCATCTTTTATTCATTAGCGTCGTTAGGGATGTCCAAAACACGCGATCTTACGTCCAAAAATAGAAAGTAAATGGGCCTGATTTTTGAAATCTTTATCGTTACAGGGTTAAAGGTGTTAATACAGTTGGCAACCATGGTGTCCTTTTTTGCGGCGAATTTAGTACAACAGCTGTCACAAGTCTACTTATCCACATTTTTCAAGAGTTGTTTCAAAGACCTACATTTAAAAGTGTTTCAAAATATCTGGAAAGTGTATTTGTGAAAGAAGACTTAAAAAATATTGCTGCAAACAACACATTATTTAAGGTAAGTTCCCACAGTAGCTTAAGGTTTTAAATGCTCTTCCCTTGATTTTGCTTTTTTTCGTTCACTTGAAAACGACGAGTGGCCGTAGAACATTGCTAATTTCGCTTTTGTTTTGGTTCTACTTGAGTAAGCGTTGCCATCTTGTAAATTTTTTGTAAAAAAAACGTTACAGTGGGCGGTAAACAAAATAATCAGGATAAATTCATTATAGTTAATAACTTGTATGCAATCTCAGTATGCGTTATGTTTTAACCCCACATTTCTGCATCTGATCAACCGATAAAACCTGGGTTGATTTATACCCGACCATCGTGAGAGATTTGTAGCGTGGTGGCAGTGCTACATATAACTAACCATCTTTCTGCGTAGTATAGCGCCATTTTCACAGTCATAAGTTAACTACTATGCTACTAATAAAGTACCATTTTTGATTTCACAGTATCAGTTCGACTTNATTTTGCTTTTTTTCGTTCACTTGAAAACGACGAGTGGCCGTAGAACATTTGCTAATTTCGCTTTTGTTTTGGTTCTACTTGTGTAAGCGTTGCCATCTTGTACAGTGGGCGGTAAACAAAATAATCAGGATAAATTCATTATAGTTAATAACTTGTATGCAATCTCAGTATGCATTATGTTTTAACCCCACATTTCTGCATCTGATCAACCGATAAAACCTGGGTTGATTTATACCCGACTATCGTGAGAGATTTGTAGCGTGGTGGCAGTGCTACATATAACTAACCATCTTTCTGCGTAGTTTAGCGCCATTTTCACAGTCATAAGTTAACTACTATGCTACTAATAAAGCACCATTTTTGATTTCACAGTATCAGTTCGACTTATGGTTGACTGCAGTTAACTAATGTACATCCATTAGTTAATCAATAGTTAAAACCAGCTGTTTTTCTAGTAGGTAATAATGNGTTAACTAATGTACATCCATTAGTTAACCAATAGTTAAAACCAGCTGTTTGTCGTTCCCACGACAGCCGGGTCTACGTAATCGGAACGACCCAGATTTATATCTGGCCAAGGACTGTCACTCNTCGTTCCCACGACAGTCGGGTCTACGTAACCGGAACGACCCAGATTTATATCTGGCCAAGGCCTGTCACTCCAGCAACACTCCCCAAAAAGTCTTTGGGGAATTTGTATGCTGCTACAACAACAACAACAACAACAACCAGCTGTTTTTCTAGTAGGTAATAATANGTAGTTTAGCGCCATTTTCACAGTCATAAGTTAACTACTATGCTACTAATAAAGCACCATTTTTGATTTCACAGTATCAGTTCGACTTATGGTTGACTGCAGTTAACTAATGTACATCCATTAGTTAATCAATAGTTAAAACCAGCTGTTTTTCTAGTAGGTAATAATGACTGGGAAAATGGCCCATAGTGAATACTGCACAACACGAATGGCAGTTAAATGCAAACTAGAGAAGAATTTCTGATGGTTCCAAGACAATTTATACAAAATGGTAACGGTTGAGCATAAACAAAAATTTCAATAACAAATAATAGTTGCGTGTCCCAACTTTTCTGGGTTAAAATCTGTAAAACTGTCAAACAGCAAAAGAAGCCAGAGTAAGTTGGACGCACAAAAACTTTTTAAATAGAGTGGCAGCAGCAATTTTCGTACATTTAATTTTTAATAGAGTGGAAACACCAATTTTCCTCCATCTTAACAGTGGCTACACACGACGAACATATCCGCGCACATGCGCGGCTTGCGGGTCATGTTCGTCGTTTGTAGGGCGGTTTGCGAGCACGCTCGCCAAAAATTAAAAAAATTTTGATTTTCAGCGAGCATGCTCGTCGTTTGTAGCGAGCTTTGCGAGCATCGCATTGGAAACAAAAACAACAACCTCATTTTGTGTTGATGCTTGAAGTGTGCACATCGGCGGATAAATGTTGTTGTTCTGGTTGTTTACATGGGAAAGTAGATTTTCGATTTCACATTTCGTCAGGAAAATGGGGTAGAAAAAGCGCTTGCATTGCCACGTTTAACAGCACTTTAACTGATCTTTATGGATTATGCTACACACCACAAATTTGTTGGCAACTATGGCTATTCGTTAGCTGCCAAGATGGCCAATTCGCCGCTTCAGTTGAATTTCTANTTTATTTATACTTTACTTGTATGTACGTACATACATATACTTATAGTAATTTAGCCTCATTTATCAAAAATTCAATTAAATAACATGGCTTAANCGTTTTGCTTTATTTACTTATCCACTTATACATACATATATACGTATATATATACCCTGCAAACAAATTCTCCCGAAATCTTTAAGAGTGTCGGAAATCTGTTAGGATTCTTTTAGAAATCTGTAAAGAAAAACATATGAAGCAGTTGACATNACAAACGACGAACATGACCCGCAAGCCGCGCATGTGCGCGGATATGTTCGTCGTGTGGAGCCACTGTTATATTAACTTCACAAGATTGTTGTGCAGATTTTCATCATCGGAATATTGCAATTAAATACAGAATTTCGTGAAAAAAGTGATTTCTACAAATCTGCAAAAAGGACTTTCTGGTTGTTTACATGGGAAAGTAGATTTTCGATTTCACATTTCGTCAGGAAAATGGGGGAGTAAAAGCGCTTGCATTGCCACGTTTAACAGCACTTTTAACTGATTTTTATGGATTATGCTACACACCATAAATTTGTTGGCAACTATGGCTATTCGTTAGCTGCCAAGATGGCCAATTCGCCGCTTCAGTTGAATTTCTACCGGTATTTGGGTGTGTGTTTTTTCGCATATTCGCTATTTGATTCGCTATTCCTCAANATGTTGTTTTTGTACGATTGCTACAACCTGTAGTTGTTGAATCATGATTTCTACCGGTATTTGGGTGTGTGTTTTTTCGCATATTCGCTATTTGATTCGCTATTCGTCAGATTTTGGATGCAGAAAGCGAAGCTAGAACAAAATAGAAGAGTGGGAATTGCATTTTTTGTTTGAATTGCGTATTAATTCGCTAAAATTTGCCGACAAGAAAGTAAAAGTGAAATTGGAGTATTTCATCCCTGAAATTTTCCCAATTTGGAAGAAGAAAACGGAATATCAGCGCAGTTTTGCGCAAATAATAGAGCAAGGTAAATTGTAATAAAACAGTAAAAAAAATTCATCATTAAATTTTGGAANATTTTGGATGCAGAAAGCGAAGCTAGAACAAAATAGAAGAGTGGGAATTGCATTTTTTGTTTGAATTGCGTATTAATTCGCTAAAATTTGCCGACAAGAAAGTAAAAGTGAAATTGGAGTATTTCATCCCTGAAATTTTCCCAATTTGGAAGAAGAAAACGGAATATCAGCGCAGTTTTGCGCAAATAATAGAGCAAGGTAAATTGTGATAAAACAGTAAAAAAAAAATTCATCATTAAATTATGGAATGGCTTCTATTAAAATTTCATGTAACAATCTGCACCTCCGATATTATATGTACCACATTTGCGTATGAATTTATGCCTATACATAGGTACTTCGAAACGCCTTGACGACGAACATTGCGAAAATAGGAAAAGTGATTGTGACTACGCCAATAGTTACTACAACTATCAATTTCGACGTTTCTAGCATTTCGACGACGGCGTGTAGAAGAGGAAAAAATTGGAGAATTGGAAGAAAAATTACAGCGACAGCGGTAGCGCTCGGAAACAAGGAGGCGCAACGGTGAAAATGAGTTCCTACTCACACGCGGACCCTATCGCGCTCAGCTTCAATGAGACGTGCTTGCGTATGAGCGACGTACAATTACTGCAGGGTCCACACTGGCTGAATGACCAAATACTTTCATTCTACTATGAATATCTGGAAAAGATCAAATACAAAAATAATCCCGATTTGCTATTTGTCGCACCAGAAGTGACACAATGCATGAAACTGATGGACGATGGAGAGTTGGAGACCATACTAAACCAGCTGGAGGCTCCACGAAAGCCATTCATTTTCTTTGCGTTGAACGATAACGAATCAACTCAAGCGGGTGGCACTCATTGGTCACTTTTAGTATTTTCACGACCAGAGAAAACGTTCTTCCATTTTGATTCGTGGGGTAACAACAACTCATTAGCATCACATCAATTTTTTCAACGAATCAAAGATGCATTGAATTGCCGTCAATGTCATATGAAACCAATACGTTGCCTGCAACAGGCGAATGGTTACGACTGTGGCATACACGTTATCTGCATGACAGACAATATAGCCGACAATGTCAATCGGTATGAGTGTGTGGAAGGTGTTGGACCACTGCATCAGGACACAATCAGCGCAAAACGATCAGAGCTGCTGAAATTGATTCTGTCTTTGGGTGGAAAAATTTAGAAATACATTGATGGTGAAATAGCGGATTGCTTTAAAGCGTCAGCAAGCACGGAAAAATATTATTTGTTAATGGCTGTTTAGAGTGGGTTGATAGTTGGAAATGACAGAAATGTACACAAAACAGCCATTTATTTTTTTTTATTAGGAGAGCACAGGGATAGTTATATAGAAAACCAGAGTTAAGAAACGAGTATCTTCTGTGTTGAAAATTAAAATTTCACCAAAACGCATTTGGTGTATTGCTTTCTCGGAATTTCCTTTGTTTCAAAAGAAATCCATTACTTTCAGTTTTTGTTTGAGAAGTAAAGAAACATTAATTTTAAAATGTGAGAATTTTGTAACGCTAATTTGGCTTTGATTACTTGCAAATAAAACTAAAATAAGATTGTAAATCCTTTTGAAAAGGTATTTAGTAATTAAAACTATACACGTATATACATACATACATATATAACATACATAAGTACATATACACATAAAATTAATATTTGAAACTTTGATGTGAAAAAAATTGGGACGCGACATGTTAACAAGTTTTGGATGTTTTATTTTAACTTTTTTTTCATAGCAAAAACCCTGTAAGTCCAAATTTCGAAAGCTGTACAAAATAAAAAAAAAAATCAGCAAAGTTTCATAAAATTTCAAGATTTATAAATTTCAGCGAGTTTCAGAAAAGTTGATCAAAATATCAAACGTTTTATTCAGAATTAAAGAGAAAAATTGTAGTTTTGAACGCATTAAATTTTAGTATAGTAAAGTGCAAGTTTTAAGTTGGTAGGCTTTTTTGGCATTTTATTTTTTTTTGCTGGCAGTGTCATTCGTTTTCTTCCATGCAAATAATGTGCTACTAATTTTTTTGGAGGAAAAGCGTAACACCTTCAGAAGAGAAAAACACCGCCAAAATTCAAGAGTTAGCCAAAACTTGTTAAAATGTTACGTCCCTATTTATTGGCCCCCACCGTCACATATATGCAGATATATAGAAGGCATGTGAAAAAATTTTTTCCACATAGTATAAAGCTCCATTATCTATGAACTTCACTTTTTCTAGCGACAGAAATGAATTACCGCTAAGTTCCTGCTGTTATTAATTCTTTCGTGTATAGCACGAGACAACAAATGCATGAAATATTTCTCGATATATATAAAAAAAAATATTTAGATTCAATATTTTTGTATGTTGTAAGTTATTCATATGCTTCAAATTTACTTCATGCATACACATATTGTATTCCTTAACATCGCATTTTCCTCGCCCTTAGTTATTCGTACATGTATTTTTTGTAATATCGATTTAGTTTTAAACGACATACATATAATTTTTTTTATAAAAATGCATACTAATAAAATTATCTAAGACTTATTGGGTGAAGAGTGTTTATATGCCCCTTTGAAATTTATTCTGTCGAACGAGACTGACACATCTTCAAACTGCCCCTTAATGGATAGGGTGCCCCCGTCCGACTGATTGATGTGATGGTCCGTGTGGTTGATGTTGCTCGTGAGAGAAGGCAGAGATCACCGCTACTCTAGAGATGTGATCGACGGGGTTGGGTAAGACCACAGGACCCTGCGACGTCTACTTAATCTGCCATATAAAGGAGGGCAAACTCGGTGTTATATTTGTAGTGAGAGTGGGACTTTATAGCCAAGTATTGTCGGTAACTATAGTGGACGACCTCGCTACAATCCATATCAATTTGACATTCTTCAACTGCTAGCTCTTTTGCGTCGACGACCGGACGAAAAAAAAAACCGATTCTGAACAGAAACTCTGAGAGTTTTCTCTCTTTTCCCTTTCCTCCTATCATGAATAAAAATTCCCCGAGGATTTTTTATATTAAATGACGGAGTTGAGCTGTCATAAAAGTCAAACAGCTCTTGTGAAGTTCGAATTTTCTCCTCCCAAAATTTCGAGGAAGGATTTATTTTTCGGGAGAAATAAATTCCCGGAGAACAAACTTCCTGGGCTGTACGAGTTTTCCTAAGGTCTCTTATGAGCGCTTGGAGCGCCTCTACGACTGCTATCTTAGTTGTGATATAAAAATTATGCTTTGCGATTTCAATGCAACGATGGGCAAGGAAGGCGTTGCTATCATTGTAGCAGCACTACTAAGCGCCGCCTGGGTCGGTTTGTCCATCAATCGCTGTCGTCAAACTCAACTAAAGGTTGGTCCAAGAAACGAGCTGTTTTGATGGGGTCGCTGTTTTTACCAGCGGTGAGGTAAGGGTAGCCATCGGGAAGGCGAAAGCCTCCAAAGCCATTGGACCCGACTGGCGTCATTCCAGACATCTGGGAGATGGTGAGAGTGGTCCCACTGCTCAAACCGCGGAAACCAGCCAACAAAGGAGTCTTATCGTCCGATAGCCCTCCTTTCCCTGGTAGCGAAGACACTAGAGGCCTTGCTACTCCCGTTTTTTACGAGCCAGCTGGCCCCAGCGAAGCATCAGCATGGATTCCGTAAAGTGTACAGCACAACAACAGCACGTAACGCCATAAATACCCCGATAACTCGCGGCCTTAACCGAAACCGCCCCTGTGAGCGAACCTTTCTAGTAGCTCTTCGTATGCTCTCTGAATCCCACCTCACTAACGTCCCTGTCCCTATGGACAGACCCCGTCGAGGCTGCTCTGTGGCTACTCTATGCATGCCGGGCACTCATTGGCCACATCTGCGTATACTCTGCTCAGGAACTAGTTTAGGCTGCTGCTGTATCCAAAGCGAAGTTGGGCTATTGTGGTGCGAGTCTTCCGAGGCGGAGGGCTTCGACGTTGGGTGGTTGTGTACCCAAAACGGCATTCACAGGTCGGGAATCTATGTCACTCGAGACCGACTTTCTGTGCATGCCGTTCAAGGCCTGTCGGTATGCAGTTAGGTTCGGAGGTTGCTTTATGAACCTCTGGACATCGTCTGTCAGTTCATAGAGATGCCTCCTGACGTTCATTGGCGAGGGCTCTTCTGCAAGCCCTGTTCGGCTGCCCACGTCTTTGACACCCTACTAGGAACTACATGTAGAGCATTGTGTTATGCTTCTTAATGGGAAGCATCTGGACCTCGTCATTAAGGTGGAGTTGAGCTTCGTCCACTGCGTCCTGCTTGTCTCTGGCGACCACATGGGCGCTGCGTCGGGTCCGGTAGTTGGTTGATGTCGGTCTGGACCGCGTCCATATACTTGCCTTCTGACCTGCTTGGGCGGAGACGCTTCCTCAAACAAGGGTCTGTTGGGGTGCTCACGCTGCCCGGAGTCCGGAACGCGTCTTTGATCCTACTGGCCAGGGCCCGGAAGATAATGGTTTGTAGCCCCAGGCTCAATGGCTGTCTTAAGTTTGCAAATAGATCATGTTGATAAAGATGAAATACACGTTTCCAGGGTTTTAGACGTACTTGCGATTCGAAGACTAAANTGAAATTTTTTTCCATAAATGAGCCGTTCACCCTAATGATAAACGATCTGGAAATGATCCAGCTTTCCTCTGGCTCAGAATTAACAATCGTGGTTCTCTCTGAAACAATTTTTCATCCCAACACGCAAACGTTCCTCTCAATCTTAACGTTGAGTTCTCAAACCTTTTGTTCTTTAGCAGAACGTTCCGCAGAATTTTGTTCTTATTTGATCCTCCTTGAACACGTTTTCGATATTTTCGTTCTAAATTTGTTCCCATTGGAAACGTTGGTTGTGTTCAGAAATGCATCAAGCCAAAGCATCAGTCTCATTTACTTCGGTCGGTTTATTCCCCTAAGAGCCCCTATCTACGTTTCTGGAGCTACTTACCTATCCGAGTATTTATACATGTAAAGTCAGTTATGTATTTTCATACGCTTTAGTTTAATTTGTTTCATTTCGTGAACAATATAGACTCGCGTGCGCACATAGAACATATGAATGTATGTATGTTTAATTTATATAAAAATATCTACTTTAGTACACAGTTAAATTCACATACATTTATCTTTAAATACAGTTTAGTGGTAAACTTATTGCAATACCAACGTGTTATCTATTTTACGCATTTAAATGCTTAACAGTTACTTGTAGTATTTGTAGTATGTATGTATATGTAAAGTTACGTGTATATTGAATTACATAAACTTATTCGCATTACATTAAGTTACATCAAAGATGATTATACACATACATATCGGCGTATATTATCTATGTTCCTTCTACAAAAATATTATAATATTCATGTACTTTTGGTACATATTATAAGACCATATGTAATGCATATACAATTACATACATATGTATTTCCTTTAATAACATTACATGTACTAGCATAACAGTTTTTCAGTAAAAATATATCAACCTAGCTTGTGACACCGGCAAGATATTACTACCAGCTGCTACAACAACTACTACTAAACCTTCACTTCTGGACGCGCCCAGCCGCCAAAGGCGCGTTCCAACTCTTCGGCAACTGCCAAGCACAGCCTATCGTTATTAAAGTTGGCAATAACTTGCAGTCCCAGAGGCACACCTTCGCTACCGAGTTGTCCCAGTGGTACGGCAGTGGCGGGGAAGCCCAAAACGTTCACGATGCCTGTGTAAGAAAAGTTAATGGGGCGAAAGATGGGTTCGTTGTGGTATGGTGCAACGGTGGGATGTGTGGGATAGAGCAGAACACCATCATCGCCCAAAAGCTCCTGCATTTCGGCGCGTAATTCATCGCGCTTCTTTACCATATGCTTATATTTGCTCGAACCATACTGCACCTGTGTCTTGTCCATAATGGCGGTCAAAAGTCCGATAAATGTGTGCTTGGAAGCGCCAAAGACCCATTTCACCAATTCAACATAGGGGTTAATAGCCACTTTTAAATCACCCAGTTGGTGAGCGAATGTATAGCCAGAATCATCTTTCATATTGGCAAACCAAATGATGGTCGATTGACGGAATTGCTCCAGTTGCACCTTTTCCACCACCTCGGCTTTTAACTTCTGCCGCAAATGTTGTACGGTACGCTGCATGCCTGCTAATAGATCGGCATCCACTGGCGTCACCAAGCGACCACCGCCGTCGGTCTCCTGATAGAAGAAGCGCACCTTTTGCAAATCGACCGGCTCATCCAAATTCAATTCGGACGCCTTATCACCGGCAATAATTCGTAGCATCGGCTTCAAATCCTCTGCAAAACGTGACATTGGTCCAATGCCGAGAAATGAATTTTGCTCAGCTGTGAATGGCATAGGGAATTGACCCTTATTCGAAACAATTAGCTTGCTGGGCTTATGACCGAATACGCCATTAAAGAATGCCGGCATACGTATAGAGCCGCCAATGTCGGATCCCAGTCCGAAGGGCGAAGCGGCTGCCGATTGTATGCAGCCCTCACCGCCGCTGGAGCCGCCAACTATGCGATTTGAATCGTAAGCGTTACGTGTGCGCCCGTGCACCGAATTGTTGCTCTCCCACCACATGCATACCTCAGAGATGTTAGTTAGCGCGAATGGA